GACTCCCACCCTCGGCATTCACTGGCTGTCTGTCGAGGGTTGCCCACCAGCCTTGCCGCAAAACGAGCCCCCCCCGTGGTCTTCGCTTGCTGCAGCAGCAGCGCATGCAGATGGGCGGAGCGCAGCAGCAGCTGGAGCACACAGTGGCGCGCATGCAGCAGGAGTAGGTGCAACAGACGAAGGGGGAGCTTATTCCGATGCAAAGAGGGCCCCAATGACGGAGTCGGCGGGAAAGGCTTTAGCAGAGCCAAAGCCCTACGGTGCCTTGCGGTTGTATAAACGGGAGCCGCAGCAGCAGCAGCAGCAGCAGGTGCAACTGGATGACGAAGAGGAAGGGAGCAGCGATTTGTTGCCCGTCGAGGAGCTGTTGGTGGCACCTAAAGTGAACTGCGTCCTTGGAAAGGTACAGCAACAGCGGCTAGCCGGCGGATCGGGTGTAGCTGAATGCCCGATGTCGCTACATTGGCGAGAAGCCATCATCGTGTTCGCCTTGGTGCTGCTGTGGTGTCTTTTGCTGTGCTTGCATAGGAGCAACAGCTTTTCTTGACGTCTGTTAGTGAAGCCCTCGAGGCAGCGATGGAGGAACGCGCTGGGATCGACAGCGGACGCGCGTTTAATAGAAGTGAGAGCTGGCGTTTGAGCTGTCGGCAGCCTCTCGATCAGCAGATCTACAGAGAAGCATTTCGTTTTTTCACGAGGGGGCACAGAGACTGACGGGGTAGCAGATCTACAGAGAAGCATTTCGTTTTCTCACGAGGGGGCAAGGAGACTGACGAGGGAAAAGAGAGGCTCACAATTTACGTTAATGGTGTATGCGATATGGTGCGTCTTGCGCATTTCAGCACTTGGGGTCCTCAGGAGTATATTCGCGATCGAGCCGCTGCTGCCCTTCCTTGGCCAGCTCTTTGCAACCCAGGTGCGCCTTGCGCTATCATTTAGCGAGGACTTCGTTTCTGTTTATGCCATTCTCGCTGGCTGTTCAGTTCTCTGCATGCATGCGCGACCTCCGCTTTGCGCGCGCCTGCGTCGATACCAAGTTGGTTTGTTGCCGTCGTTGCTGCTGATCTCTTGAGTCAACCCCGTGTCTTTGAGGCTTCGAGGCCACTCTTTCCCTTGCCTGCTCGTGTGTGTTGCGATAATGCGCAGCTCCCCGCCTATCAGCACCTGCCACACCGGGCAACGCTGCTGCTCCAGCTGGGGCATGCGGTGTTGCAGAATCCTCACACATCAATCCATGCACATGTACCTTCTCCACCCCTGTTGCCACTTGTGCCGTTTGCCGTCGAAATAGAGAGCAGGCGTGAAGGCGCTGCCGCCTCACACAGCCGCCTAGCTTGCTGTTGCACGGCACATGAGACCGACTAGCCTCCACACGAGAGACTGCATGCTGGTTGCTCTTACACAGTGTTGGCAGTCTTGCTGTGACTGAGGCCGAAATCGGGGATGGTGGTACGAGTTTCTCTGAAGCAGAATCTCTCCCCTTCGTGTGCTCGTCGATATGAGCAGATTCACCAGTTCGTGATGCCGCTAATGGACTGTCTTCTAGCCCCCCTGTCACAGCCTTCTACAGCAAGGTCTTCGACATCGACAGCAGCGTCTGCAGCAAGAGGGGCACCCGATCTGTGTCTGGCGTTGACACCTCAGCAGCTGCGGCTACGTCGGCGAGCAGCAGCAGTGCTGGGGTCGCTCTTTGCCAGAGCACGGAGGCAGCGGGCAGCCTTGGAACCAATCGAAGAAGCTGCTGCTCTGCAGCTCTTGCGAGGGTTGCTTCAGCCTAGCAGCAGCCTGGAGACAGCCCTTGGCGCGGCCATTGGCATCAGAGCGCTTGGAAGAAGGGCAGTCCTGCTGCTCCTACTACCGCATGCACCGCTGCTGCTGCATGCACTTGAGAGGGGGCAGGAGCTGACCGAAATCCAGCGACTCGCCGTGAGCAGCGGCTCCGGCTGTCGCTGCCTCCACTGTCCCTGTCGTGTTTGCGTCACTTGGTGTTGCACTGCCTTGGGACCCTTGGAGCTGCGGAAACACTGACCGTGTTCAACAGAATTAGCAGTCCATCGTCGTGGTTGCGCTTGTGGGTCGTACAGATATCGTCCAAGCTGGTGAAGGGTTCCGTGGGCAACGCCGCTGCGGATCATCTGCTGCTGCAGCAACAAGTTCTCGATTTAAGGGACTTTTTGGCGAGATCGCTGCAGTCAGAACTACTGGTGCGTACGCTGCTGCTGCTGCTGCTTTTGGAGGTGCTGATATAGCCGCTACGACTGCTGTGGTTGCGGCATGTGGTGTTGCTCGAGAAAAGTGTTTCTCTGCTGCTCCAGAGGCTGCTGTTTTGTTTGCCTGCAGGATGCTGCCGTGACTGAGCTGACAGAACAGCTCACAGAATCTCCACTGTATCCCTCGGAAGACGCGTCAAGTTAGTATTTTCCCAGTGCTGCTGAAGGTGCTGCAGCTGTGCCGGCGACGGTGGATGACCCTCCGCTAGGCATGCTGCGACTGCTGTTGTTGGTTTGTACTCTCAGTTGCGCTGGGCCACATATTTGCAATCCTCGGAGATGCTGATGACGGCTATAGAGACGCGTACTGTCCAATCGTCGCTGCCGCGCTGCGACGTGCTGATCGAGCCGTAGCGGCTGCTACCACAGCACATGCAGCAGCAACTTGTTGCACGGGGTGGCCAGAGGGCATGCCGCAGCAGCAACAAAAGCCGCGGCAACGGCTTAAGCAGAAAGACGTTACGGACTTTGTGGCAAGAATAATCAAGCTTCTTGCCAAGGTGAAACAGCAGGTACAAGAGCAGCGCAATCCGCAACAGCGCGAAGATTGGCAGCAGGAGCAGCAGCGGCTACGGGCGTTATCAGGCCAAAGTTCTCTAGAGGACTTTACAAAAGACAGCGGGCTTGTGTTACTTGAGATGGTCCTCTGACCGTCTTTGGGCCCCCTTCGGCCGTCTTTGGTATCCCTCAGGACTTGAAGCTTCCCAGGAATCCTGGCTGTACACTTTGCATAGGTGGAAGAGGGTTCCTGTTGCTGTTCGTAACGCTTCATCAACTGACGGTGTGAATAGGGGACCATAAAATCTACACACAATACAGGCGTACGAGAAAGTTGCTGAGCGGTTTTCTATAAGAGATTCTTTCCCTATTTTCTGCTCACATTCGTAGGGAGGGGTGAGCCAGCTAGGGCGCGCACTGCTGCACCCTTCAAAGCACTCCGAACATCCACAGCTACTTGCATGTAGCATCGAGCGTGTACACGTCATACGCACACAAGCATGCAGCGTTGACTCTTATTGTACTAAGGCTACCTTGTAGCAAAGCCCTACTCAACCCACCAACCCAAATAGTCAATTGTTTACTAATTCTCAAGTAGCCATGGCGCTAAGGAGTGCCACGGTGCAGCTCAGCCCGCAGTCCTGCGTGGCGAAGACGCTGCAGCAGGTTCCCCGTTCACGTTTGTGGCGGATTCATTCGGGAAAGAGAAGGCTGCTCGCGTTTGGGGGGCCCAGGAGCCTCGTCCTAGGAGAGAGGGGTTTTACTATGGCGCCTGTCGTGGCCGAATGGAACGCTCTGAAGTTTCCGGAGAGTTAGAGTTGTCGCTCCAAACTCAATAATAATTGATCAAAATCCTATTGGAAGTTTCTTACATAACTTCCTCCTTCCACTGTCCTCGTGTCGAGCGGGCCAAGCTTAACTAAACACTCTCTGCTACATTAGTTGTTCTTCACTGAGAATCATTGAAGAAAGGACTAACTGATTTGTCTGATCATGTACCTATTTATTGAAGAGTACAGTTACATTGCTATAAGCAGATGCAATGTTGTGCGTCTGTGAACACGACCATATGTGCAACTCTCTATGAAGGCTTGGAGGGTGTAGAGGGTGGAGCACGCACATAGCGTGTACTTCTTCAGCTTCCCATAGACCGCTCGCCATGAGTCGACACGGGCAGCTGGGATGGGCGTATATATGTCCTCCAACACACAGATAGTCGCACATAGCATATGGCGCTCACGCAAACAACACAGCGTCCTTGGGCCAATTGTAGTCTGCAATAAAATAGACATTTACATAGACATATCATTTCGTCAGTTCCTTGCTAATTAGTATGTAAATTTAACTACTGTAGGAGAAGCCGCGAAGGTGCATCCTGGCCCACAGGACGGTGCTCGTTCCGTCTCTCGTAGGTTTAGCGCCACTTTCGTTAGGGGCCCCAAGTAGGGTGCTCTGAGGGGGGCCCCGAAGGATATTCTTGTGCATACCCATGGAGCCTCACTTTAGTTAGAGTGTCCCACTGTAGGGGCCTCCGTTTTGGTTTGGGACAGCTCTGAGTCACATAGGACACTATTCCTGGAAACTCGTGGATTTGTAAAGCACCTAGTCCTCTAAGCTTCAGAAACCTCTCTTCGCAAGAAAAAATCGATGTCGAGAGGGCTTCTACACATACAGGAAAGCTGTTTCGCTGCAAAGGAAAGGTAGAGGGGCTCTCCGCTCGGAGGTGGCGGACTTACCATGGGATGACCTGCGAACCAGCAATGCATGGTCTACTTTCCCAATGGACGAACTAAGACTACACTTGAGTTGATCATCGAGATGATCTATGCTGAATAACAAGTATGCGTACGTGGCTATTGCCTCAATTGTTGTGCTAGTGCTATTCGTGGTGCATCCCCGCCGGGGCCTCCTGCCTTTCTCGGGGCCCCCAGGCCTGTTGCACCAGTGGAGAAACCAGCCGATCTGCAATCACTGGCCCCTTTTTCTGTCCCCTTCTTATGAAATATCGAAACTAATCGGAAATTGGTGCCTCTGGGCCTGTCTATGTACAGGCTGCACGAGCAGCATGAGCTGCAGCACCAGCGAGCGCTAGACGTTACGCCTAGGGCACGTTCCTCGTGGTTATGTCTTGGCCTCTTCTTTCTGTTGATTTTGATTATTAGCAGATTTTTGAAGGGCTAAGGCGGCTGCTTCGCTACGTTGCAGTCTGCAGTCGCAACAAGGCAAGAAGGTATGGAGGGGCCCGTAGGGGGCCCCTCTGAGGCAGCCTCTCCTGACATTGACGCGGAGTACCCAGGGGCTTCCCTGCTGCGTCTCGCTGTGTTCTTGTGGTTCGCCCTTTTCACGGTGACTGTCTTGATTCGCTATGCGCTTCTGGCCCAGCAGCAACACCTCCCTGGCACAATCTCTCCAGGGGGGCCTGCTGCGACTGCTGCTGTTGCTGTAGCGACAGTAACATCAGCCAAGGACGCCACTCGGATACAACTCTTCAAAATCCATGTAGTGCTCCTTCGCGCCGTTATTAGAGAAGTGCGTTGGTGGGACCTTCAAAGTGATACTTTATTCCGTGGAAACAGTGACAAGCAACAAAGTTAGAGGCACCAAGACCAAGAGCAAGTTCATGCGTGTGTGTGTGTGTGTCTGTGTGTCTATGGTTGTGTCTCTGTGTGCGTCTGTGTGTGGGTTGAATTAAGGTGATATGTAACTTTTTTGGAAAATGTTTGGTGACGACTCGCTGGGTTTTGTTCTGGGTGCTGTGGAAGGACAAGGACGGGCTTGAGGTGTACGTACACCGGGATCGCATATCCCTCAAAAGGGCTACGGTACTGCGAAGAAAGACCATTGTCTTCATTAGACATGGGTGAGGAATCGCTAAAGATGCCTGCAATCCTGAAATAGCTGCACTGGCCAGTGCTGCAGCTAGTGGTTGCTTCTCCAAAATCGCAGCGAACGCTGCTTTTGCGTCTTCTGCTACTCAGGGAGTCCATATGGAATTTGTGTTTTAACCGGGGTGTCTTGACACCAGAGTTTCCTCTTCGTTTGTTTCTCTTGGTGCTGTGCGAACTGCTGCTGCTGTGGGAGTTCGATTCGGTTCTGCTGGACTCCCCCCTTTCGTCTTTAGGGATTGAGCAAGCCCTTTCCATCCGTCAAGTCATTGCTTCTATCTTGCAGTCTGACTCGGCAGCAGCAGCAGAGGCAGCAGCAGCAGCAAATGCAGCGGCTGCTGCCGATACATACCCTGAAACGCCAGTAGCAGAGGAGCCGCTAAGGGGCCCCAAACACTTTGGAGCAGCCACTGCTATGCAGCATCAGCAGCAAGATGCAGAGTCAGCACGGGTTGCAGCACTTGCTAATGCTTTGCCAGACGTGCAGCAGCAAAGAGTTCTCCTTTTGACGTCGAATCTCAGGTGGCCCCCGCCTTCCTGCCTGCTTCATATATATATATATACATATATATATACGTTTACCTCGCTCCTGTCTGCGAGCTGCAGCTATTGCTGACAGCATCGAATGCAGCAGCAGATGCCTCCACAAAAATGCGGTGTGTGGATTTTCTTGTTCCAGGCGCGCCTCTTCGACGCTACTCCTGGCTGCCGGATCTGTGCTTGCTTGTGGGAAGTGTTCAGCACGCGTGTCTTCTTGCCTCCACGTAGGCTCACATCCTAGTTGCTCAGTTCCGTTTGTTTTGAGCTGAGCGCTTTGAGGCCTCTCCTGCACCGAATAGAGTGGCAGCATGTGCTGAAGAGTAGAGAGGACAGCGAGGTACAGGCGGCAACTGGCTCTTACTTAGCGGGCCTGGCTAAAAAAGTCATGCTTTTGCAAATGCCAATCTTTCTCCCTTTGCTTTTCAGGAAACAACTCGCAACCCTGACGGCTTTCCTCTGGCCCCGGCTCTTCGAGTGCCTTCTTTATCGCGATTGGAAATCGCGCTGATGGGCTGTGGGGGCCCCATGGGAGGCTTTCCACGTGCATCAGGGGCCCCCCCACCCCGCACTGCACCCACGCTAGCAGCAGGAGGCGCTGCTGTTTCATCGGCAGCTGCTTCAGGTGTGGGCTGCGTAGACCCCGGAGGGAACAGGGGGCCCCCCAGTAGCAGCAGCAGACTGTGGAAGCGTCTGCTGCAGTTTGCAGAAGAGGCGATGGGAGTGCAGGAGGAAACAGTCATTGCTGTGGGGCACAGCAGGTGGATCCGTGAATTCTTTAGGGCCTTTTCGCTGGTACGACGCCGTCGATGGAGGTCGACAGAGACACTCCCATGGGATGTGAAGCACACACAGCACCCTCAGTCCGCACGGTTTCTATTCGAAAAGATGCTCTTAAAAGCGTGTTGTTTGGCCAGCTCTTCCTCTTGGAGGCGTTTTTCAGTTGCACGCTAGGACTTGCCACATTTCACTGTACCAATGCGCATGGCTTCCTTTCTTTCTCTCGGGGTCTCTTCTGGGAACGCGTGCGAAGTGCGACATTAACGCCCCATTTAGCCGTGTCCTCTAAGGGAAAGTTTGCGTAGCACTCCACATTTTCACACGACTTAGCTTCTGCCAATCGCCCTTCTTTTATTGCGGCTCTTTTTTTCTGCTTCTGGTTGCTGCACAGCCGGAGGCAGATTTGCCCGCTTCCCGTCGGAAGCTCTCGAATTGCGGCGTACTGTCCCTCAGACTTGCTCAAATACAGGTGACCTTCAGCTCCACTTGACACCCTCTCCCATGCATACTAGACCTCTTTTCATGAATGCTCTTTCTGCCCATGCCTCTGAGGCGGTTACTAGGATCTGCCACCATTCACTGCTCAACGGATAATAATGCAGGGGATGTAGGTGTACTTAGCTCTATTGTACTGCTCCGTACCAACACCATGTCAGGCCTCCGAGTTTCAGCCCGGTGCTATGCCGTTTCTATGTTTTGACGCTCTCCATGTTTGTGAATGTGACTTTTCATGCAACCCTAGCTTATCGGACAACACGCATGCATGCGCCCCTTGCCCCGACTGACTCTAGAACCGTTTCACGCAGTTCGTGTACCCTTGTGCGTCTGCATGCATTATGTGGGTGATAGGATAATCATTCGCTGGTTTTCAAATGTTTGCCGGTGGTTTTTTCAGCATGAAGAAACAGGCTCAGTGGATTACTGCATTGAGACGGAATCTGTGAGACTCTTGCATGGCAGTTTCTTGTAGAAGCTCACAAATGCTAATCTAGCCCTTGCCAATTGCAGCGCGTGCTGCAGCAGCATGGATGTTGATAGCAGTGCTGTGGGCTGCACAAAACATAAAGTGATTGCATCCTCAGATCCCTTGCGGGAACGGAGGACACCGCAGTCCGGGTGGATTTTATATTTTACCCCGAAAGGAGCTTCCGGCGCTCTAAAGACACGAAACTGTCTGCTGTTTCAATTGAAGTTTTCGGTGCGGCTGCCGGGGATCTTGCTGCTGCCAGGAGAGCCGCGTGCACGCTCGGTGAAGTGTCTGCCGCAATTGTAGCAGTACCTCTTGAGCTGCGTCGGCCTGTTGCTGGTGCTGCTGTTGGGTGCAACGAGGCTCCCCTGCAGCAGCACAAATCCCAAACGCTGCGGCAGCTTGTTGCAGTGTCTCCTCGAGCAGTTGCAGCTGCTGCCGCCGCACCTGAGGGGCCGCATGCGCCATCTGCTGCAGCAGGGGGGCGCGCTGGAGCGCTTGCAGAAGCTGCAGCAACAAAGAGAGCTCCCCCGCTGCTGCGTCTGCTGTTTTAGTAGACGTGAAAGTGTGCTCTTCATGCTCGCCTTCAGTCAGTTCCCCATCTCCGCAGTGGCCTTCTGCGACTGCGGGTACTGCCGCGCAGTCCGCAGTGACACACAACAGCAGCACGAAAGCCTTAGGCTTTAGGCCTGCCACAACGCTAGGGGCAGCGCATGCGGTTGCCCAACGTATTCGGAGCTGCCGCAGTAGCCAGTGCTGCTTTTGTAGCTGCTGCTGCTGTCGTTCCAAGAGCAGCGGGGTAAGAGATCGAAGTGCCTGCAGGGAAGAGGCAAGGGAGTGCTGCGGGAGGCTGCAGGGTCCTTTCGCTAGCAGCTGATGTAGCAAACGGGCGCAAAGCAAAAGCCGCTGCTGCTGCACGGCTGCGCCGAAAGACGCGCAGTTTACTGTGGAGAAGTACCGCAGCGTCGTACAGAGCTGGTCCCCTCGCATGTCCCCGGCAGCGGCAGCGGCTGCTGCATGCGGTAGCAGAGCTCTTGCAACTAATGCTGCTTCTGCAGCTGTCAAAAAGGCGGGGGGCTGTCCTGCTGCTGCTTCTGCTCCTGCAGTTGGAGAGGCTGCATCTTCAGGGGGAGTCCGAGAACCTTCATCGGAGTGCTTGCTCTCGTGTTCCCGCTGATATTGCTGCTGCAGGCGGAGGTATGATGAAACAAAGAAAGCAGTGTCAGAAACAGCCTGAGCACGCAGGAAGGCGGGCTGGGGTCGCTTACAATTCTGCTGTAACGGGGTACTGACATCAGCGGGGGGTCCAGCATCAGCAGCAGCAAGCGCAGCAAACAGAATCACCCTAGCAGCCGGAAGGTCTAAGTGTTCTACAGCCGCAAGGGCCTTGCCGGCTGCAGCAAATTGTTCGGCCCGGTGCAAGACTTCGCGCTGCTGCATTTGTTCTTCCTCCAGTTTTTTTTGTTCCTGCTGCATGTGTTCTTCCTCCGGATTTTTTTGTTCCTGATGCATGTGTTCTTTCTCCAGTGTTTTTTGTTCCTGCTGCACTTGCTCTTCATCTGAATCCAGGATGAGCTGTGTCAAGCGATATGTGAGGTGGATGTACACCGCAGAAGTCCGATGACCCAGTGCAGCAAGGGACACGAGAATAGCGGAGACTTCTCGCAGCGTTGCAGCTGTTGCTTTCCACTGTACCTCTGTTGCCGTCCTGTCCACCAATTCGTTCGCTGCTGGCGCTGCAGCAGCAGCAACTCCGTTGCGGCGAGCCAGCAACAGAGCATGCAGCAGCACCGACAAATCGGCAGCCAGAAAGCTCCTCAAACAGCGAGCGCTAAAGCGGGTTACAGCAGCGGCAAAAAGTAACTCGATGAGCTGTAGCGTCGTCTTTTGCTGGAGTTGCAGCAAATCCTCTGAGTTTCCTGGTTGTTCCTGCTGACACTCTCCGTCCCGCGGAGGCTTCTGCTGTTGGATTGGGTAAGCGTGGGCAGCAAGGAGAAGGCAGTGGGTTGCAGTGGCTGCTGTTAGTGCGGGCAAGAAATAAATGGAATCTACCAGACAAGCTCGCAGCCGTCTACTTGATGCAGTCCTGCTGCTGCTCTCCAGGTGCATCTGACCCTGCAGCTGCTGCACTGCAGTCCGAAACTCCCTGAGCAATTTGGTACCGTAATGCATGCTCGGCAAGCTTTCCTGTTGAAGCTGCATTGGTTTCTCCTGTAGGACGTGCAGCAGCTTTTGCTGCGCTTCCGTCAGGGGGTGCTGCAGCAGCAACAGACGGGCGAGCCACTGTCGCTGCAACGACTCCCGTGATGCCTCCATGAGCTTTCCCTTCCACCTTACGTCCTCCCGGTCTAAACGGCCGCTATTGCTACCTTTGCAAGCAGCCACCTTTCTGCTGGATTCCCTTGCAAGGGCCCTACCCCGCGCAGCCCGCTGGTTACAGGGAGGGAAGAGGATACGACACGTTGTTGTTGCTCTCGTTGTTGTTGCGTTGGTTGTTGCTCTGGCTGCTTCTAGAAGGTCCCCTAGGCTGTCAGCCGGTCGGTCCGGGGGAATGGTCGTGGTGTTGCTGCTGGGGGCCTTCCTGCCCGAGCCACTGCAAGTACTACTCCAGAGCCTCCGTGCTGTACGTACAAAGTGGCTGCGCCACAAGGCCGGTGGCATCATGGCCGCTGCTGCCTTTATGTGGGCGGTCCACATGCATGCCTTATTCCCCCCCCGCCCTTGCCGCAGCTGCAGCACCAACGGCAACCATTGCTGCTGTTGGATGCTGGTTGAAGCGCCAGTTCTCACAGCTGGAAGGAGCGCGTCCGTCGCAGCAGTCAAAAGCAATCAGACCATAATGCTCGGCGCAGGAATTCCATAGAAGCCGCTTAATTTGGTGGTGCTCCGCCACGGGTGCCCTGGAGGGCCCCCATCGTGGGAGCCGTGGGCCCTTCAAGGGCCTCCGCTCGGCCTGAGTGAGGAGCACTGCGTGCAGAATGCAGCAGAAAGCTGTGATTTCTCCCACCTGCATGAATAATTTATGTTCTTAAATCCTAGATGCGTAGTAGCACGTGTGTGTCGACGCGAGAGCAGCAGTCAGGGGGAGTTGCATGTGTGGTGAGCAGAGTAGTCTAGCATGCCTGTTACCCTTGCTGAACCAAGCGCCTGCGCCTCTGGCGCCAGTTAGTGGTCCGTATATACATTTTTCCGTGGGGTTCCATACTTCGCACGTAAGGCAGCTGCTAGCATCGCTGGCACAGCCAAGGCACGAGCAGCAGGGCAGCAAGCCTACACCGAGCAGCGACTCCAGCAACAAGAGAAGCCACAACGCAGTGTGGTGCTAGTGAAGAAATGGAAGCGCCAGAGGCTGCTTCTGGTGACCAAGCTGTCCTTACTTCCAGCGGCGAATCCGCGGCAACCGGGCCCTTGAGTCGGTGGGGCCCCGATGTGTATGTACACCCCGAGGCACACATAAATGGAAATGTACGTCTTGGTGCGGGATGCTGTGTCTGTGCCGCCGCAAAGATACAGGGGGGCGACGGAGGTATAGAATTCGGCAGGTACACGGTTGTGCGCGAACTGGCCACTATCTCCAACGCGTAAGCAAAAGGCCTCCTCGCTATGCAGTATCCCTTTTGCAGCGTTTTCTGATCTGCACGTGATTCTTCTCGTCATTGCTGACCGTCCCACCCTCCGCCTCCTCAGCCTTTCGAAGGCTCCTGCGCGTTGAGCCATCAGGGTATCTCCTTCTGGCCCTTCGACTTCCCCCTGTGTTCTTGTTGAAGGCTTCCCACCCCAATGACTGTCGGCAGTTTCTGCCTCTTTGAAGAGGCATCCGGTAAGTCGACTGTGCTTCCACTGTAGCCTCTTCGACTTCCGCCTATCGCCACGGGCGCTTGTCGTGCGTCGAGCCTGACACTGGCCGGCTTTCACCACGGATACAGCAAGGGCTGCTACTGCCGCTAAAGTATGTGCCTGTCCATTCAGCTGTATACAACGTGTGCTCCATCAGAGACTTCGCGAGAGTCGGCACCAGAGGTAGAGAGAAGGACTTAAAAATGCCATACAGAGCCCTCCCTTCGTTAGCCCCCATGTTGAGCAGCGCATGGTATATATTTGAGGCCATTGACGTTCTCCCCTTTTGGTTTGTGGTTTTACTTTCCCTGCATTGCAGCACATGTCTCAGGCTGCGACTGCCTTGGAGAGGGCAGCCGTATTGCCGCAAATTGTGAAGTGACCTCGGGAAGCCCCTCTGTGGGGCCCCAAGAAGTCGTTTATGGTCCATCCAAGAGGGCATATGACTCTAATGCTATAAGTGTGAGGTCCATGCCTTACTCCATGTGCCGTCCAACGCCGCTAGCAAGCTCTGTTCTGCATTGTTTGTAGGCCTTCGAAGCCTTCTGCATTTGCTCCTCCTACAGGGCCGAAGGGGGGCCTTCCGTGTTAGATGTGCCTTTAGAGTACCTTAAGGACGTCCATCGTCTAGGGTCTGAAGGTTCCTACAGCACGGAACTGGTTCAGATGCATCTGGGTGGTAGCTTTTTAGCGTGTGGAAATAGAAAGGCCTAGCATGCACAGTACTTGCTACCTCCCTCTACCTCTGGTGTTTGTGTGCGTCCCCCCTGTCTGTCTCCTCTTGCAGAAACAAGCCCAATTACTTGCCTATGATATTGCCGCACTGAAACGGCAATTGAAGCCTTTCGCGGATTACGAGTCTCATTCACACTAAGGACCCTATCGTGTGGGCCGTATCCTCCGCTTGCGTTTTTTTGTATAAGGCCCATTGTCGTAACAGAGTCCTTGAAACGTTCCAAGATTCTCTTCTTAGGTCTTAGGAGAGACTCATAGGGTTTCTGCTGGCTCTTTCACCCCCCCTGTATATGAAAGCTACAGCCAACTGAAGAGATAGCAAAGTTTCGTTATGCTTGGGCATGTGCGATTGCAGAAGTCGCCTAGCAGACCCCGAAACATTTGGGAGTGGGTTTGGAGGAGTATACTGCTGCTTCGTTGTTACTCACTAGGGGTACTGCGAGGTACCGCTGGCGCGAAGGGGGGCCCTCAAAGCCAATAAGCTCTAATCACCTTTGCTGTAGCAGTGTGACCAGTGCAGTTGACAGATCCATGTAGAAGGAAGGAGGATGAAGGAATGCCCGTTTTCCTTCATACGCTGGTGAATGGAATGACACACACTGGGGAAAGAAAAGGGGGGAAGAGTAGGTGAGGGAGATGGCGGCCAGGGGCGGGGGCCTCAGCGACCCAAGGTCCAGTAAAGGCCTTTTCCTCAGATTTCCATGCAGTGCCATAGAGAAAAGAATGTATTTTTGGTAGAGGTCTGAGGCTCTGTGGGTGTTCATCTACCCGCGAGATAGTCAGGTGTAGAGACCTACTCTGGCAGCTTGGATGTCCCCTGGACTGGTACTGTAGGCTGTCTTTGATCGTCTCTAGTGAGCTTTTTTTCTCATTTTACAGTAATGCATTCTTTTTTTATCGTTATTCACGCAAACTAAGTATCAGAAGGCTAAATGCTGGGCCCCTCAAGAGGGGGCCCTCTCCAGTGGTTTCCCGTGGTCTGAAGCCCCAGGCTCGTGCTTACAAGAGACCCCCGCCCACAAACGATTCCGCTGCTCCTACCGAAATCTTCCTTCAAAGAGGTGTTCCGTGGCTTGAGGCTCTCCAAGCCTTAAGGTCGCTTATGCTAGCAACTTTTGACAAGACCAATTGCCTGCACTGCCTTGCTGTGTGGTCATCGAAGGACATTTTCATAGGCCTCAGGGATCCAGAAAAGCCTCTCTTGGGGCTTTGAGAGCCACCAACACCTCAAAACGCCCTAGTTAAAAGGGAGCTTTAACGGAATGAAGCACTACGTTTGATGAAACGGGCTCAAAAGGTGGCAGCAACACTCCTGTCGACAGCGAAAGAGTAGTACTAGAGACAGGGCGACATCTTCATTGACTTTCAAAAACAGAGAGACTGCCTGTCTGCCTTTCTCTGAACTCTGGAAGGGAGCCCGAAGGTGTCATTTGTGCCTTTCTAAAGTCGAACAGGATGCAGGCCTTTGGGGGCCCCTACTTTCTTGACGAGGAGCTCCCACCAGTTTCGCCTGTTTGCGTCTTCCACGGAGGACAGTAGGCCTCCTTTGGATGTGTATAAGAACTGTCTCCCTCTCTCTCTCCCTACCTGTGTGGTTGTGGCTCGCTGCACTCTTGTCTTGTAACGGATGCCTCCCTCTCGTTTACCTTACACTTTGGGGGTTCTGAACATGAACAGTTGCACGAGTGCCCCCAGTGCAGTGAATCCTAAGCTGCTTTTCAAATGAGGCTCTGCTCTTGGTGTCACCCAAGCGTCCTGATATTTTCGAGACTCTGGTCTCTTGCGCTTTCCTACATGTGTGGTTTTCTGTGTTCCCTGCCTTCTCCGAGAGGCATTTTGACTTTCCTCCTCCGGGGGTCTCTTCACGGTTGCGAGAATGCCGCTTCAGCTGCCTCCCTCAGTCTTCACCTACTCTCGGTTGCTCCGATTATGCTTGGATCTGGCGGTTGTTCTTGCTCTCGTGGGTTCCATGATGTATGTCGCCCTGGATAGCAATACATGGGACTACGCGCCGGTTCGAATTATCCCCACAATCATCGGCTGGAGCCTCTTCGCACTCAGCTTGCTCCTCAGCGACAAGCTCTACCAGCTGTACAAAGAGTGGCTTCAGGGATGGCCTTCGTAAGCGCAAGATGACCTCGTAATCAATCACCAGCAAGTTCTGTTTGGGTTGGTGGCTTGGCACCGCGCTCATAGAAAAAAATTCATTCAGCCCTTAAAGCGCTGGTGTTTTTGCCCCGTTAAAGATGTTCCACGGGTATTCTCCTTGGACTTGCTGACGACGCTGAGGCTGGTGCCGCTGCGGCTGGCTGCTTAGGGGGCTAGGAACGCGTGGCGGCTCAATGTGCTGATACTGCGATTGTAGGCTAAACAGCTGGCAGACACTTTCCACCGAGTGTCGGTGGTGCCGGTCCTTCCGGAAGTGTGGAACGGAATCAATGGACTTCAAGCATCTCAACGCCAGCGAGACATACTTGGCCAGTCAGTTCCATCGATTTATGGTTAGGGGGGTTTACATGTTGGAGATTGGGGCCGGGGAAGTGGGGTTCAAGCGCTTACGGGCTGCCGTGCAATGCTATGCGAACGAGGCGTTTGGAGGG